GTTTGCTGGGAAGATATGTGTTCCACTTGTTTGTCAAAAAACTGCCATACACTGGCATCACCGTGGCAAGTAGTCTCGACATCTGCTGTTGACGGCACAGATCCTGTATCAGCCTCAGGTGCTGGATGCTGATGTAAGGCAACTACCTCATTTAATAATACTCGAGACATTCCTTCCACTCTACTTCTATCAGTAAATGCTGCCTTTTTAAATCGTGGATCAAGTAAAGTGGGGATACCTATCAAATAATTCTCCTCCATTCATAATGGAAAACGATTTCCCATTTGATTATTGAGATTGACACCCAAGACACTTGTACTAGTAGTAGTAACTTGTTGCAGACCCCTTGATAATGGGATGACTTTAGAGCCAGTGACATTCTTTTCAGCACTCATTTCAGTAGTCAAAGCTTCAAATGGCATAAGTGTGGATATAGCATCTTTCATCAAAGCTGTCTTCTCACTAGGTATGATTGAATCACTTTTGTCCAACAAGCACAGGGTGGTTTTGACAGCTTCTTTTTGTTCAATGTAACGATTTAACATGTAGTAAACAGAGTTCCACCTTGTTTCAACTTGTTGGATTAATTTATGATTTGGGAGATTTAATCTGTTTTGATTCACAACAAGATTGTCAGATGCCTTTGAGCTCTTATGGAAGTATGTAACAGTTGCCTTGACTTGTTGAATCAAGAAAGTCAGCTCATCATTATCTTTAATGGCATCTGTCACAACCAAGTTAAGCAAGTGAGCAAAGCATGCTAAATGGTTCCAACAACTTAGCCTCACTGCCCATTTTATATTTGCACCACTATCTGTAATTACCCAGTGTACTTTTGATGTTATATTCCACTTTTCCAGTAATATTCTTCATTATATATAACAAGTTTTCTGATGTATGAGATTCTTAGACGTGACATGTACTCAATACTGCTGACTTCAATTCCATTTCTTCATTGATGTAGGTGCAAGTCACTGTTAGGTACCATTGTGTAGCTCTCGATGTCCACATATCTGTAGTGAGGCAGCAATGATCAACTGATTCAAGTTCCTGCATTAACAATTCATGTTTCAAGGCATACAATTGAGGCAAATGGTTACGCATCAGAGTGCGACGACTTGGTGCTGTGTATTTGAAATCAAGAAGTCTCATAAAGTTTACAAATCCTTTGTCTTTGACAATTGACACTGGTTGCAGGTCAGTAATGATCATGTTTACTAGAACTCTGTCAATAGTATCACAACGAAGTGAATCCTCTAAAAATGGAACAATGTTACTGATCTATATTCTGTAATAATTTATTACACTCACTGCTTTATGCATGTGTTCTGCTGATTGACTCTTCAGTTGTCAGTTGTGAATTAGTTGTTTGTTTTTTCTTTTTGGCTGCTTTTTTTTGCTGTGTTCCTCAAGTTTTTTGTGTTCTTCTTTATGATGATTTTCTAAATGCCATAAATAATAATTTAAAATATAGTTGTATTCTTTGTTGAATTGTACCTTCAATAAATTTGTAGTGTTGCTAGAAGTTGGGACTTTACTTCCACACAAGTCACAAGTTCCCTCTTTTTCTCCAGTTTTTTGGAAGTATAGCCAGATTGCACTTCTTTTTGTCTTGGTAGCGGAACTATGACTGATAGTAGAGGACAAACTCTCGACAACAGCATTGCTAACAATAGAGGAACTACCACCAATGGTACTGGTTGAAGATCTGGTTGGAGGTGAAGAAGGAATGATTTGTGTACTGGATGAAACAATCCTGACAATTGAAGCCATTAGAAAAAACCCAGAAAGCTATAACAGTAATAACACTGAGAAGATCAAGAAAGCCGAAAGAATTGAGTTGGCAGACTGGTAGTTGTGCCTTTTATACTGTGTTGCAACTGTGCATGCCCTTGCTGTGATCTGTGCATGCCATTGCTGCTTGCTTATGTTGTCTGTGATCTGTGCATGCCCTTGAATTGCTTGCTGTGGTATGGCTGTGATCGGTGCATGCCCTTGAATCGCTGCTGTGGTAGTGATCTGTGCATGCCTTTGCTGCTTGCTGATGTTGTCTGTGATCTGTGCATGCCCTTGCTGCATTCAGTTATTCATGATTAATTATTTTACGTAGTTATTAAAACTATTTAACTATTAAATGGGTGTGGTCAAATATCAATATTCTTGTTAAAATTTGTTCGATATCGATAAATATCGATACCACATTATAGCAATTTAATATCGTCAGTTTTGATATATCGCCCAGCACTAATTCAGATGCTATTGATGAATTTAATGATCAGGCTGTTACTGCATGTTGTAGCTGTGAGAGGCTTTTAAGACAAAAGTCTGTCATTGAAGCTAAAAATTTGGATAGCGATGTTTCGAATATCCTATTAGATTACATTTTTTTTAAATGACCCTTATGGCACTGAATAAAGTTATGTATAACTGTAATCATTGTAAACCAATTATTAGGAAAAATGAAGTTTCAGCACATTGTGTACTCAATGAGCTAAAGTTTGAGCCACTACCCAAAGAATTGGACAGCTTAGATCCTTTAAGTTGCTAGTTAATACGCAGGGCCAAATGTTTTCAGACAATTGTTAGGCTAGGTACACACACCTTAAAATTGCCTACATATAATTTATTGAAGGCTCTTAAAGGTGCAATGTTTTATTTACCCCTTCCATTAGGAAAAACAATGGAAACTTTAAATGAGGTTGGTATAGATTCTAATCACTTGCCTAATCCAGAACTTTATATTATTATTAATAGACAACCATTAAATCAAGTAGTTTCTGGTGTAGTTTAGTTGATGTAACTAAAATGAAATCAGCAATAAGAAAGTTAAAAGAAATAAATTGGCTTGATACAAACATAGACAATGAGTCAATTGATGAATCGTCAAAGAATGTCATACAATTAGTCAGCAACACTACTTGTAAAATGCTTAAAAACGCAAATGACCAAGAGTTTGAAGGCCTTTCCGCCTTTCCGCGGGTTCTGATATCAGTCAATATAAATTAATGAATGTCAAAGAAGTGCCTATTGATAATAGACAAGAGCATTTTCATTTCTTATGCTTTCGTACTTTATTTCCAACAGTACATTATGAAGAGCATCACCCCAGACAAAGCCATCCAGCACAGACTTTATCATTTTAGTGAATACATAAAATTTAGACTTCAAACAAAGATTCCTGATTTCATAGAAATCATTCTTATTGTTTGCACTATTATGGATTAAAAGTTAACAAGGCCTTAAAAACTGGCATATATAATTTAATAAAAACAAGAGGCAATGTTGGTCAAACTGTTGCTGAAATATTAGAAAAAGTGTGTTAGATGAAGAATTTGAGGGCAATTTAAGATCCATGTTGGCTCCAATACAGGGCATAAATCAACATTGGTTCCGTGTGAAAGGTGAAGTCAAGGCAATGATTTCTGGGTATGGGTCACCAAAACTTTTCCTAACATTAAGTTGTGCTGAATACGATCCAACTGATATAGCGCAAGAAAATAAATGATGCACCACAATCATATAGTATTTCTAGATTATGTACTCAGGACCCTGTTTCAGTATTGCAACAATTTTCATACAAATATAAGGGTTTCTTCAACATAGTTATTCTCCAGAGAGGTGTTCTAGGCAAAGCAGAGCTATATTATAATTTAAAAAATATCAAATGTGTGGCTTGCCTTATCTTACTATGGATTGAAAATGCTCTTGTTGTCAGTGTCGATCATCCAGAAGAAGTCTGTTCTTTCATACAAGATAGAATGTCATGTTGTATCGCAGATATTAATATGTCACCTGCTTTAAATTTTTTGGTAACAAAATACCAAATGCACACGTGCAGCAAATACTGCAATTGAATATTAAAGTCGGCAAGACCTATATATCAAAATGCCAATTTGAATTTCTTAAACCAGTAAGAGATAGAATTTGCATTATTGATGTTGAAAATAGCTTGAAATCATGCAATAAAACATTTTATCTCAAACAATTTAAAAAGAAGCTCGAGTCAACGATTACCATTGTTTACTGTTGAAATTGTGGCTTGCAAGTATGGACTTGCAATACATAGCAGAGAGGAGTCATTGCGTAACAGAGTGTGTAACTGGATATGTCACTAAAGCAGAAAAGAGTCATGCATAGGACTTATGGAATGAAGTCAGCAGCTGTGACAACATATACAGCAGTCTTTGGAAAATCGGACAATAATTACTTTGAGCTAAAAATGTAGGATCATATGAAGCTATCAATCTTCTTCTCGGTGAAAGTTTATACCGTATTTCCTAAAATAAAAGCCCAGGCATCTATTTCCTAAAATGGTATTAGGATCTCCAAAAAATAAATAAAAATTAGAAAAAAGTTCAGCTTGTAGCTGGATTCGGACGCGTAACCTCATGCTTTTGACTTCTGGAACTTCAGGCATTATCCACTAGACTACTGAGTAACTCCTAGGCTAGTGTTGCATACTTATAGTTCAATCGTATTGCTACCCTGGCGTTGATTCGAATGCGGCTTCTATTTAAGGACTTACTGTACATGAAATCATGAAAAGTAAAGGAAAGAAGAGAAAGATTCAAGTGACAGGTATAATTGGTGAAACTTGTAGTAAGAATGCCAAGGTGTCTGTAAGTCCTGTACAATGTACTAGTAACAGTACTGTTAGTAGCAATAAACGTAAGAGTACTGAATTACAACAGTGTAATCGCACAAAAAAAGGAAAGTATATGATGAGAATGCCTTAAATAAGCCTTGTCCCAAGAAAAAAAGTTGATGTAGACCGTAGTACTGACAATACTGCTTTAGTATTGCCTCGCTCAACAAAGATAATAAATTAATTGTTTTAATTAATTTAAAAAACGTAATAACCAAATTTAATGTCAAACATGATGATAGCTGTAGTAGTCAGATTGCATCTTTAAAACTCTCGAACATTAAATGTAAACCAAAAGATGATAATGAAGTGTGTTGCAAAAAATGACCATTGTAGTAGTTGTCTGATTGTATCTATAAAACTCTCAAGCATTCAGTTAAAGACAAGTAATCCAAAAAAGGATGATAATGTCATATTTACTGACCAAGAGCCTTCTAACGCAGATATTGTGAGGAGACAAAGGGATTATGTTTGTTTCCCTGGTATCGAAGAATTTTTAAGACGGTGGTTTGAGATTTTAAATCTCAAATTTGTCAAGCTGCTATTATCTTACCTGGTAGTCCAACAACACCATTGTCAGATGAAAGAGTTCCTAATAGTACTCTTGATGTCCCTGGTGATGGGAACTGTTTATTATATGCCCTTTCAATTTTAATTACTGTGTCAATTTCTCAACATTACAAAAACCAATTGTTAGTATATATACATCACTAGATCGTTTGGGTACAGTTACTTCTGTGGTTGGGCTACCCACCTTTGGTCTATATCATTTAACATATCCCATGTTTAATGCATTACACCATGCTTTTTGAGTAGCTGCATCAAGGGGGTGGTATTTTAAATTACTAGGGCTCATGCTTCTTCCTGTCATCTAACAATCATCACTATTGTCATCATTATTATTATTATTAATAACAGTCGGTGGTTTTTTGGGGCAATTAGCATTAGTCTTATTATCTTATGGCCTACTTTTCTTATTATAGCTAGCTTTGGTGGTAGCATTTTTTTTATTTTTTGCTTGTGGCTTATTTATAGTTCCAGTAAGTGTACGCTTTATTCTGCCACAATCTGTAGGAATCGCATATTGTGGGAGGTCTGGTCTGTACAATTGTCCCAATCTGTTTTCTTTTATTTGGGGTTCAAACATGTTGAATGGACACCAGACAGTGTTCATACTCGTGGTAAAGCAATGTAAGCCATTCTTCCACATAATACATTATCAGACAGATCAATGATTGCATTATCTAGTAGCAGTCCCTGACATTTGTGTATGATAACAGCAATAGCTAATATCAAAGGAAACTGGCTCCTATGCACAAAGACATTTTTCATTACCATAAACTTTTTTTTTACTATTTCAATCTGACAAGGATTGGCTATTCTATCAAAAGTTATGGATTTTTGAAATGGCCTGCACTGTACCAAGTGCTCCATTGACTAATCCCTTTTCAACATTTACATTACAATGTAGCATTACTCTAGCCCCCACAGCCAACTTTAATTTGGCTTCTAGACATATCCTTGTTTAATTCTTTCAACCTTTTCTCAAGCTTTCTTTTTTTAGTCA